ACTGCCAGTTTAAACACTGCAATAGTGATCTGAACATTCACTTTCCAGAAAACTATGTAAAAAGAAAAGCAGATTCGTAGATAAAAGCTAGTGCATGGTTCAGTGGTTGTATCTCTGTGTGCAGGGGCAGATATAGGGCAGGGCAAACAGGGCAGCAGCCCCGCACATGCGCCGTGGCAAAGGGGGGCCCTGCAAAATGGTCATCTGCCCCTGTCTGTGTGTACTATTTTTAGGACAAATAGACTATGTTTAATTATTTAATGTGCAAACATGGCACATTTCAAACGTGGTAATTTTGATTTCTCACTGATGTGAAGTAAGTGTGGCTACAAAATTCTCTCTCAATGTTTCTAACCTCTGAAATGAATGTGGATGCAGTTTTGCCATGTATCTTGCCTGGAAAAGCAAATAAAAATAGTTGCCCAGAATTGGAAAACTCTCTCTTCTCATTAAGCTTTATGATGGTTCTGTGGTGGTTAAAAGTCTGTGGGTGAGGTTAAAAGGGGAAAAACAACAGGGGCCATGTTACAATACAGATTTACTACAGAACTACAAATCAGAAACAGGAGGGGGTGGGTTGAGGGATTTCCAGAACAAAACAAAAATATCTAAAACACAAGACCTGATAGTAATGGGGGAAACTTTAACTACCTGAATGTGTGTTTGAAACATAATACAGTCAAACACAAAATGCCCAATAAATTTCTGGAATGCATTTGGCACAACATTTTGTTTCAAAAGGTGGAGAAAGTATCTGGGGACAACTATTTTAGTCTGGATACTGACTAACAGGACCTGCCTGTGAATGCGAAGGTGGAAGACAATTTGGGTGAAAGTGATCATGAAATGATAGATTTCATGATTGCAAGGAGAGGTGGGAGTGAAAACATCAGAATAAGGACAGATGACCTCAAAAAACAAGACTTTGAACAAATCTGGTGATATTGAATTTATTAATTTGGTACTGGAAGCAGCAATGGCTATAGCATTCAAACCTACATTATGTGAAAGGACACTTTAGCTTTGCAGATGATACTGACCTTAAATGCACTGACCAAAGAGGATTTACAGAAAATAAACAAGATAGATTGGGAAAGCAAAAAATTTAGACTGAAAAACAGAATGAAGATGACAAAAATTATGGTGATTGGAAGGCAAGAGGAAGAGATCACGATCCAACTTGGAATCAGAGAACCGGAGCAAGTGGAAAAAATGTGTTCCACTATGGAGAACTAGTATTGAAAAATGGAAATTATGAAGATGACATAAAAAGGACAGAGTAGTCACTACAGTATTACATTTGAAAAACTCTTGTTTTAGATACAAATGAAAATTAGCATATTTAAGGCAATTGTGCTGCTACTGTTGTACCAGTCACAGTGCTGGACTATGAGAAATGCCAACAAAAAATACTGACTGCAGAAATGAACCGAATGAAGGGAATACGGAAAGTTTCAAGACTGCAAAAAATAATTAAGAAATTGAATAATAAGAAAGCTGATTGGGCAAGAAATAATGCTGCTACAGAAGATCGAAGAAAGATGACTAAAATGATTTGGACATGTGTCAAGAATGGATCTGGAAAAAATACCATGCATGGCAATAAATACCAGGGTGCAAAGAACTAGCAACCAAAGAAAACCTTTCACGCATTATGTAGACATATTGAAGTATGATCTAGAACAAGAAGGTTTAAAGATGAATAAAGTCATGAATTTGTTACAAAACAGAATAATGGAGATTTCAATTCTGCCCTACTATCGCTCCTAAGCTGAGGGAAGGGAATCACAGATGATGACTGGTATTACGGTAGCATCTAAAAGGAGATCTATTGTGATGTTCTACTATTAACTATGCTCAGAACTAGAACCACATATACAAAGTAGGTTACACACAAACACACAAGCAAAGTAAGTTATCTTTGTCCTTCTCTTTGAAGTGACCACTCTGCTCTTGTGTCTGGTCCAGTCTTGTGGTTGTTCCAGTATTTGTAGTGTTCCTTGGGCAGCATGGCAAAATATACATAAAAATCTAGTACTAGAAGCACTAAATCCTCCTTGTCATGATTATGAGGGTTAGCCAGCAGCCTGGGGATTAAGGGGTTAACTACACCTAGCCAGGTGGAGTGACCAATAGGAATGTAGGTGGGACTTTTCAAACTGGGACAAAGGAATTTGAGTTTTTTTCCTTTCTCCTTTTGTCTCTCCGAGAGAGTTCTCTGCAGCTACAGAGAGGGACAAGCATGTCTCTCTCTCTCCAAGACACCATTCTTCATTTTCTGTAAGTAGGGTAAAGTTTAGGTAGTTTCGTTAGGTTTTATTGTGTTATGGATTGGGTATGGGATCTGATGTCTGGCACTGCTTAAAAGATGTTTTGGCTTTTCTTTGTAACTAAGTTCTAGGCCCATGGAGTTTCTCCATGAGTATATTTTGTTACCTTCCTCTCTAGTCATTATACTTGCAACCAGAATATTGTTGTAATAATAAAAGTTCTTTCTTTTCTTTTATTAACCTGGCAGTGGTTAATGGTGTGCCCTGATTTTTGTTTTAGGGGTAAGATTTCCCAAATGATCTTTCCCCTGGTTTCTTTATCAACATTTGGGTGGTGGCAGCGGAAGTTTTATTCCCAAGATCTAGGTTTTTAAGATTCTGGGGGGAGTTTGATACCAAAGCCTGGTAGATAAGGCTTTGGGGTACACTTGCTGGCCCCCACTTCTGCATTTATCATGCCAGAGTGGGGAAGGAGCCATGACACTCCTTATTCACCTTCATCTGGGTAACAGCAAAAGCAAATCTACTACTATAGGTTCCCATGAAATTGTACCCATTAGGTGAACAGATGATTAGAATTTGGCAAGGTTGAGTTAGTGTCCTATTGAGGATAAAACAACCCCTAGGAGTTATGGGCTCTGTGTTACACTAGATTCTAGCTTGACTAGTAGGATTCTGACCCTCATTTCTTCTGGTTCTGGTCTTTGTGGACTGCTCCAGGTGGCATTTTAGGTTCATATCTCAGGACTTACTCTGAGAACATCTTTCTGTTCTCATGGAGAAGAATAAACACACCCTCTTGGAGTGGCATGGAGTGCACAATGCCCCCAGGCAGAATACTTACTGTGCCTGCCTTTCAGGAAGATTAGTCCATGACAAAAAGGGTTGGTAGGGCTTAAAGTCTACGGGTTTCAAACTAGCCATTTGATAAGCCCTCTCTAGGGGGAGAAGTCTATATGGGGAAGTTGGTGTAGCAGAATCTGACCAACAAAGTTCAGTCCAGATGTTGCTGATCAGTTCATGGCAGAGATGGGAAGTGGTTCTGAAGATTTGCAGAAGATTTTAAAGCTAACATTTTAAAGTCCAAGCTAAGAAATATCAGGTTGGACACTTTCCAGCTTGACTCGCTGCATGGGTGGAAAAAAGGAATTGAGAGATGGCCATGTCCCCCATAATGCTCGTGTGAGAGGAGATAGCACAGGGTATATGCGCCAACCCAAAATACACTAATCAAAAATCTCCAGTCTTGCGTGCATGAGGTGCATGTGTACCTAACATGGATTTCACACTGACACACATTCAAAGAATTGTATTTGTTGCAGGTTGTGGCAAAAGCTATTATGATAGAACTGTGTTTTAACTTGGTGTGGTTAGTCAGGGCATCACCTCTGCACCTACTCTTGCGTTCTGCAAGAGGAATGGAAGAGGACCCAGGTTTGCTCCCTTCACCTGTGCCAGGCACTTTTGCTTCACAGGCCTTTTTACCCATTTCTCCCCAAGGTAGGATTTATTTTTGTCCTCTATGCGGTGTCCCTTCCTTTAGTACTCTAATCCTCTGGTTAACACCATTATGTATCCAATCTACAGTCAGCGCTCCTTCTCTCCCTGGTAACTGAAGCTCAGGGATGGGGGCGGGGAGGAGGGGGGAAAGAAGAGAGTTATTAAGCCTTGGGTGAGGCCTTGATTGGCTCCAGGTGCTCCAATTACCTATAGTAATTTTTCTAGTCCCTAGGGAATAAGATCTTAATCATCATAGGGCTTATATATCTGTCATCTACCACTCTCTGGCTGCTTTCTGGCCCTGCTGTATAACACACGTATTGAAAAGAAAATTCTACTCTCTCTAGTCATGGTTTGTTCTGTTCTTCTCTGCTAGGAGCTGTCTTTCCTCACATACTTCATCATTAGTGCACTTTTCTTCTTTCAACCTAATGGCTTAAGACAAGTTTATAGAGATTAGCAATCATAAACTCTCTAAAATCTTATCATTACACTGGAAAAACTCCACTTCAGCCCTGGCAAATCTTCCACAAAGTATGGTGGTATAAATGCAACATAAAACCTATTGCATAATTCATGGCTTAAACAGAATCTGTATTGAGAACATGATACATTGCTCTAGCTTCCATATTCTGTCAAAATATAAAATTATTTTAATTTAAAGATTCAGTACTAAGAAGCATTCAGTATTAAAACTCAACATCACTAAATCTGCAATTGGAAGAAACCAATGAAATGGCCAGTGAAAGGTTTTAGATTTGCAGGGTAAAGAGTGAAAATTCCATTTTAAAATGATGATACATTTCTAACCTATATAAAAATTCCTTCTTTATTACAGTACCACAGGTGAAATAGAGGCAAAAATTTTAATTAGTATCTTCAGTTTAGCAAATTCTACAATTAATATTTGTAGTTTTTAGTCATCTAATAAGAGGGTAACTACAGCATTAATAACTTCCTCCTAACACTCAGTAGTTACTCATTAATCATTCTTGGCAATACCTTCTGCATAGTCCATTGTTGCCAATGTTTTTCCCATCTATTCTTTCAGTCTTTTCTTATTCCTTTACCTTAGTACTGTAATTACTTTTGGTATTCTATTTTATTCCTTCCTCACTATTGGATTCTACTATGCTGCACAGACCCATTGGTAGTTTCACAGGACAAGATTACATGTACTTTCACACTTAGTCCATACACAGTTAGCATAAAGTAAATTCAGGAGTCTACTCTAGTTGTAATTTCAGCTTTATTTGTCTGTTGGGTATTTTTATACAGTACATATAATAAAGAAAGAACATGAAAGGCTCTACAAACAAAAAGTATATCTAAAAAGTACTGATACTGCATTTGATTTGATACTTCGGTTTCAATACTTCTTAAATTAAAGAGATGGAATCAAGTCAAATTTGGCCCCAAATGAAGTAAAAGCAAGTTTTAAAAAAACCACCACCACAACAAAGATCAACATAATAGATGTCTTTTCTCTTTCGTTCATTTAAATTCTCATGGGAAAAAATTAAGTGTTCCTCTAAAGTGTCTGCAACCTCAAAAGCGCAGCACTGTCTTAGTGCATGAAATCCTGAAAGGTAATACAAATTAACTAGTCGGTTTTCATTGTCCTCCTTGAGAAAAGTGCCAAAATAAAATATCTAACTTACACAAAAATACGTTTTAATAAACATTCTCCGTTTCAATGGTCTAATGTATTAAACAAAACAGTATTTTAAAATTCATTCTTGCATCATGATAATGTCCCCTTAAGTTTTCAAACAGATCACAAATCAACAAAGTCTTTGGAAAGAACATTGTTTTCACATGACATTTTCTTTAAGCTTAAACAAAATAGTACGGTACAGAGTTGAATTTTCTGCAAATCTTATAATGTACTTCTTTTGTTTGCTTCCCCATACAAAGTCTCTACACTGAATTATATAAAACCCAGATTCTGCAAACATATGCACATAAGTCCCATTACTCAATATTACTTGTGTTAAAGTAAGGCATATACGTATAAGTGTTTGCAGGAATTACCACAACAGAGTAAAGTGAAACAGAACTATTCTTTGTCTCAATATGTGGGGTAGTTTTGTGTTTTGTTTTTTGTTGTTAAACAACCTACAAGAAGATGATAGTATTATTAAAAAAACCACAATCTCTCCCCTTTCCTTAATTTGTTATCCTCCTACAATTAAAGAACACTTCTAGACATTAACTTTACAGTCACTAACACTCTGAATACTTATCTACAGGAAATATTTAAGATATTTTCTATTCAGATAATTCATGCATTAGTCAGCGATTCAATTCAGATAAATTTAGTTTTTTGGCCAAAAACAAAACTAGTCCAATCCTACAACTTCTTACTCAGGCATCTCTCTCCCCCATTTCAATGAAAGTGTTATGTAAGTTAAGACTGCATGATTGATGGCAAGTCATAATTTAGAAATTCTGATTTGAAAAAAGTTCTATTTTTCTACAAAAATAGTTTAGGGAAGTACGTATATATAAATATTGTAAAGGCTGTTTATACCGTTGAATATTGTGAAACTCTGAAATCACATTACAAATTGTATATCATTTTGTAACATAAAATTAAACATTCTGACCATTGCAGTTTTGAATAGATTACTCACGCCTTCTTTCTGAAAGGTTAGGCATTCAGTTCACTGTGCCAAAAAAAAAAAAAAAAACACCAATCTTGTGGACTGTTCAGATATATGGGCCTACAATCTTTAGTCGAGAACCAAAAAAGTGGATCTACTCTGAAAAATGACAATAAAAATAGTATTCTGGATTTCTGTAAGTGTTGCATCATATTGGTTTCTCTAAGAAGTTTGCTCAGTTTCTTGGGAATTTTCCAAATATTAAAGTTGCAGCCTTGCAAACTCTTTCTGGGATTCACCAATAAAACTGGGTACCTTCCAGCTGAAGTATTACCCTCACGCTTCAAGTTCTACATACAAAGTGAGGTGACTAGTTATACCCATCTACGTGAACATCTCTGAACATCATTTAAGTTTTTACAGGTATTGCCATGGTCATAATCTGAAGAAAATGGGCTTTTATAAGGTCTTGAGGATTTTATTTGGCCAAAAAAAACCTATTAGGGTGATAATACTTAGAGAGATTCCAGCATACATATCAGAATCTCCTGTAAGTTTGTAAGCTTGGCAGTTAGAAAAACATTTTTTTTACTTGCAGATATGAGATGGAAGTGATCAAGAGACCATGAATGCAGAAACCTTAAATGTCATTTTTATACAGTTATTTTTCAAAGTAAGGCTGCATGTGAAAGTTAATTACTTTAGTAAGATTTTTGCTTGAGTAAGAGTTCAGGTTTGGGCTCAAGTTTGATACTGGTCCTGGAAAAGAAATTGCTCACAGTTCATGTTAAACTATACAGATAACATCTGCATTAAAAAAGAAATAATTAAGACAGTGCATTTAATAACAAATAATATGATCCTCAAAATTAGTTACAAACAGTTTCGAAAAGATTACATTAGTGAAGTTTGTTATGTACCACACACTAGTCTTCTTTCTGCTGTGTCTCAAATCGTTCCATTAAAGCCCTAAATACGTTTCCTGGTATTTTCTGATGTCTGTCTATTAAAGACTGGATTGCAGCCTTTGCCTGTTAAAAGAAAAAGAAATTGCAAGGAAATTAACTATTCTTTTTTACTACACTAACGGAAATACAGCAATTTACAGGCTAGTTTTTCATCCTACTAAAGATTCCAAAATCCAGGGTGTAACACCTTCGTTTAAATTAAAACCAAGGGAGTATAAAAAGGTCATTTTTCAAAGAAACCACTTATAATTTATCTTTACACATGACAAAGATCCCTGATAAGAAAGCATACTGAGTATAAATAGCAAAGCAACAGTGATAAGGACATGCTAACCCACCTAAATATCTAAGCATGTAAAATGTCCATAAAAATAAAGAAATTAAGCCAATGATGTCTCATAGCTATCGTGATGGGAGTATAACTAGAATACATTGGTTACGTGAATGTCTTCGGGGTTACCTAAACCCTTTTGATTAACTGGTTAAGTTATCACTGAAGATTGTACAACAGGTTTTGAAGTCTGCGTTTAGGATTGGAGGAAATGCGGGCACACACTAAGAGCACATCTAGACTACGTTTTATTTTTGAAAGAGGATATGCAAATTCCACAGGAATCCTGCGGAATCCTTCATATCTTCTTCCAATCGCTTTTTCAAAAGCGGGTCTTTCAAAAGTGAAAGTAGTCTGGATGCGTTTTTTTCCACCAAAAAAACCCTTTTTCGAAAAGCTGCGTAAACCTCCTT